AGAATAGAATAGAATAGAATAGAATAGAATAGAATAGAATAGAATATAGGAATTTGGATGAAATGGAATGGAATGGAATGGAATGGAATGGAATGGAATGGAATGGAATAGAATAGAATAGAATAGAATAGAATAGAATAGAATAGAATATAGGAATTTGGATGGAATGGAATGGAATAGAATAGAATAGAATAGAATAGAGGAATTAGATTAGGATAGGATAGGATAGGATAGGATAGAATTCTTTATTGGCCAAGTGTGATTGGACACACAAGGAATTTGTCTTGGTGCAAATGCTCTCAGTGTACATAAAAGAAAAGATACCTTCATCAAGAGTCAAGAATCATAAGGCACAACACTTAATACTTATAGGGTACAATAAGCAATCAAATCCTACTAGGAAACAGTCAATATAAATCGTAAGGATACAAGCGGCAAAGTTACAGTCATACAATCACAAGTGGGAGGGAATGGGTGATAGGAGTGATGAGGAGATTAACAGTAATAGTAGTGCAGACTTTGTAAATAGTTGGACAGTGTTGAGGGAATTATTTGTTTAGCAGAGTGATGGCGTTCAGGGAAAAAAACTGTCCTTGTGTCTAGTTGTTCTGGTGAAATGATAAAGAACAAGGATTATACACCGATCGTCCTTGACTTATGACCCCAATTGTCATCATATGATTGGACCCAAACAGAAGACCACTTTTACTGCAGTTATTAAGTGAATCATTCTTGACATTAAGCAAATCACACCGTCACTTTTTTCAAAGCGGCTGCACCTTCCTTAAAAGAACGCTTGTATATCGAGGCCTGCCAATAAAAGAGGACTCCAGATGCGGTGGAGAGCCAGGCAGGATGAGAGCCAGTTTGGCCTAGTGGTTAAGGCAGCAGGCTAGGAAGCAGGAGCTCCCGAGTTCAAGCCCCACCTTAGTCATAAAATGGTGACGTTGGGCCAATCGCCAGGAGACAATGAGTTCAAGCCCCGCCTTAGTCATAAAATGGTGACTTTTGGGCCAATCGCCAGGAGACAATGAGTTCTAGTCCCGCCTTAGGCATGACTTAGGTGACTTTTGGCCAGTCCCTTTCTCTTAACTCAACCCACCTCACAGGGTTGTTGTTGTTGCAAGAATAGGAGGTGTTTGGGGCTATGTTCACCTCCTTGAGTTAAACGTAATAAAGGTGGGATACAAACAAACAATTCTGCCCATCGTGGTTGTGGTTGCTGAGCTGCAGCAACCTCTCCATGCGTGGGAATCCATCTGCGGCGACTTCCTGATTTTGAGAGGTGTGGGACCCGCCTTCACCCACTCATTTGGAGGCCAAGGGGGAGAAAGTCGTGGGCTGGGCCCCGAACGCAAACTCACCCCTCTGCTTGGCGGTCTCGTAGTCGGCCTTGCAGACCAGCCGGCTGTCCTCCATGAGGTAGAATTCATCCCCGGTGGCCAGCTGCCTTTTGCAGACGATGCAGGAGAAGCAGTGGAGGTGGTAGACGAAGTCCTGGGCCCTTCGCACCACCTGGGTGGGTGGGATGCCTTGCTGGCAGGCTGCGCATTTTGTCCCAAACCGCCTGTGGATGAAAACCGGGAGAAGTTTACTGTTTGGTTTGACGAGAAGGAGGCGAAAATTCAGGACCTTTGGAGCTGCTTCCGCATTAAAGGTGGAGGAACTACCATCATCACATCATCCCAGGGGCCATCTTGACATCCTGGAGGCTCACCTGGTCTACCTGTGAGGTAGCCCAGATGAGGGCTGGGTACCTGTGAGGTAGCCCAGATGAGAAGGCCAACCTGGAGCACTGGCTCCACCTTCATTTCATTGCAAGGTTGCCTTCACAGAATCTTGCGGAGGCGGAACGTATTTCCCTCCTCCTGAAAGGTAGGGAGTCCAGGTGAGGGGAAGGGGCGAAGGCAGGAGGAGACGGGCCAGGCCTTTGTCCACTCACTTAAAGAAGTCCTCCTTGCAGTAGACGCTCTCTCCGCGGCTGAAGCACTTCTCCGCCAGCTGCACCTGGCAGTCGTGGCATCGGAGGCATTTGCTGTGCCAGTGGCGGTCCAGCACCTTCAGGATAAAGCGGTCCACGATGTGTTGGTTGCAGCCTGCACACAGAGGGATGTCTGTGGGAAAAAGAGAGAGAGAGAGAGAGAGAGAGAGAGGAAGGGAGGGAGG